TTCCGTATATGTTGCTGAGCTGGCGGCAATACATTATACGCTAGAAACTATCGGACCAGATAATTATTTTATTTTTACGGATAGTCTCAGTTTTGTCGAGGCTATTCGCTCCATGAGGCCGGTAAAGCACTCCTCGTATTTTCTCATGAGCTTCTAAGTGCTTTATCTTTAAGATCTTTTGTCATCACCTTTGCATGAGTCCCATCTCATTGCACGATTCCGGGCAATGATAAGGCGGACTCATTTGCTAAGGTGGGCACTATGAAAGGCGATATTTACGACCGACAAATCGCCTATGATGATTTTTTCTTCATTTATCGTCAACACTCACTCGCCAGCTGGCAAAATAAATGGAGTGAAGAGAGTTTGGGACGATGGCTATATTCGATCATCCCTAAGGTGTCGAAGAGTCCTTGGTTCAAAGGGTTGGATGTGGGTCGAGACTTCATTCGTGTGATGTCTCGCCTCATGTCCAATCACTATTCGTTAAACTCTCACTTGTTCCGTGTTGGGCTGGGGGACAGCAATCTCTGTGAATGTGGACAAGGTTACCAAGACGCAGATCACATAATTTGGTCTTGTGCTGAGCATAGTGGAGTCAGATCTGAGCTGTACGATTCCCTTCGGGCTCGAGGTAGACAACCTAATGTTCCAGTTCGGGATATTTTGACTAGACGCCATCTGGAGTTTATGAAACTCATATATGTTTACTTTAAGAATATTAACCTTAGATTGTATGTTTGATTAACTCCTACTCCCTTTTTCCCATCCAAAATATTGTAAATCTACACTAACCTCGAGACAACCGCGAGTATTCGGTCCAATTCCTTTAACTTTTAATATAAGACAGTAATAATGTATAACAAAAATGATAACTCGGCTCTGTAAAGTTTATTCGATTGAGCCTGTACAAATAAAGTAATTAATAAAAAAAAATATTACACTATTCAGAAAATCTTGAACAGTTTTCTAAGACCAGGATCTTCAAATTTGTTTCTAATCAAAGTCTCACAATCTTAAAAAAAAAACTTAATCTTGGACTTGAATTTCAGTGTACTGGATCTTGTACAATTTTCAATATCTTAACTAAATTATTTCTTTGGAACTTATGTCAGGATACCTTTGGTAATTTTTTATAGATTTCCTTAGAATAATTTCAAAATAGAGGGCGACTCCGGCGTAGTGGTTAGCATCCATACCTCTCACGCCAAAGTCACGAGTTCAAATCTCACCCCCGGACAAGTCACGAATGACCCAAGAGCGTTAAAGTGGCTATAATAATAATAATAATAATAAAAAAAAAAAAAAATATATATATATATATATATATATATATATCTTCAATTTTTGTATGGTACAGTAATTTTAATACATTTTATGTCATTCGTGACTTGTCCGGGGATGAGGTTTGAACTCGTGACCTTTGGCGTGAGTGTTACTTTCAGGATTACCCTAAATAACTTAATGATTCTCTTCGGTATTTCCTAGAATGTTTTTACATAACAGATTCGGAATTTTGTGCAGAATACTTAAGTAATTACCTCCAAAATTACCTGGAAATTCACTCTACAGTTATCGTAGTATTTGCCTTAATTTCTCTTCATAGTTTTTCTTAAAATTCTCTTGAAATATTCCTCTGAAATATCTTGGTATGCTTTTTAGAATTTAGAAAGTATTCTTCAACAATTTATTTAGATTTCATCTCATGGGATGGATTTGAAAATTTCTTTAGAGTCTCTTGGAAAGCTACTTCGAGTTTTTCGGAAATAATGTTAAAAATTTCCTCTGAAAACCACGCCACAAATTCCTTGAAACTATCTTCAAATTAGATAGAAATTCTGCTTGGTTTTTAAATATTATATTCAGAATAAAGTTCTTTTGGACTTATTATCGTGATACAATTGGAGCTCTGCATTCTCTGCTGAATGATTGATTCTTTTTAGAGATTTTCGAAATTGCTTTAGAATTCCCTGGAATAATAATAGATAATAGTGTCTTCAGAACTTCCTTGGCATTCATTTTTAGTTCTCCTGACAGTTGTCTTGAAGTCCTTTTCAAAAATACCTGGAAGTTTTAGTCAAATTCCTTTAGTATTGAATTCCTAAAGAGAACGAGTTGTAGAGGACTACATCAATTCTCATCAGTGGTGGAAGGTGAGTCGTTAGTCATTAGCGACCAGGAAACGGACGCGGGGTTGGAGATGTTGATTGAAAATAACGAAATGGACGTGACGACCTCGATGACCAACGAGAGTAGCGGCGAGCATGCAACGGGAAACGACGTTCAGAAGCAGCAGCAGCGATCACGATTCGGGTTCAATGAAAATGAAGAACAAATTCGGGAAAAAAAGAAGTTGCGGGCACGGGAGAAGATCGCTTTGTCGTCGCTTCGATCGCCACCCAGAAAAATCATATGATAAAATACATTTTTATATATTTTTTTTTGTGTTTTGAGTACTAAAATTGGTATTCCATGTTACTCGGCTCCCCTAAGTTATGTTTATAACATTTGAGCCTGCCAAATAAACGAAATGAAAAAAAAAAATATATATATGCAATAAGATCGATTGTTGGCAATAGCAGGGCTGTTACAACAGTGGCGGATTTCGCGAATTTCGCGATTTTCGCGGATTTGAACTTTCAGTCCCGAAAATCGCGAAAACATTAAATGATGTTGCGAAAATCGCGAAGGGACTTATGTGCTGTCACAATAAATGTGGAATTCATTGTAACCTTTCCGTCCCGGATTATTTAGCTGTCATCAATTTTGTCGTTCATTTGGCTCTCAATTTTTTACCGGGTCAAACCAAACATCCTGCAAATAATCGAGAAATGATCTCAATTCCATAAGTCACACCGGATTTACACGAAAATTCTCTGGGGTCTGTCCAATGTGAGACATTTTCCTTTTTTTTCAATATGAGCATAGCATTTTTCTATGTAAAATCATAAACGAATCGTATATATGCGAGTAATTGCCATGTATACCGGATATTCCAGGTCCCAACCCAAGGTATATTTGTGTAAATACACAACCGCGACGTGACCAACAAGTGTGACTTATGAAACTCTAGTAATTTATCGATTGTGTACAAGGTGTTTGGTTTGAATCTGTAAAAATTTGGGAAAACTAGAGCCAAATTAACTACAACATTTAGGACAGCAAAATACGTCAGGGACGCAAAGGTTAATTTTCAAGGAAATTTGCATTCCAAATTAAAATGCATCAATTTTTTTATAATAATGTTTCGTCAAACCTTAGCCGGTATTATTGAACAGAATCTCATAATGTAAGGGTGTTTTATTATGTTCACTAATTACTCAGAATTTATACTAGACATAAATAACTGAAGATGTTACAATGTTATTTAAAAAAAAATCAAAGGTTACAAACGAACTCCTTTAGCTCAGTCGGTAAAGGCGCAGCTACAAAGCAAGTGTCCATGCTGGAGGCGACTGAGTTCGATTCCCGTCCCGTTAATTTTTCGGGTTAGAAAATTTCTCTAGTTTCTTGGGCATAGGATGGTACAGACATAGAAAGCTCTCAATTAAAATGTGAAAGTACTTCAAAGAACACTAAGTTTGGGAGCAGGCAAAAATCTAATATGCTATAAGCAATAAGCTTTAAATGCCATGTAGAGTAGTATACAAATGCAGTTTTTAGGCAATGAAAACAGTTTTTTTTTTGTCGCGGATTAGTATTTGAAGTCGCGGATTTCTTTTGAGAAAACGTGGATTTCGCGGATCAAATTTAGAAAATCTAGTAACAGCCCTGCAATAGATTTTGTTGTGTTTTTATATTATTTGATGGTAATTGTATGGTTATTTTTTGCGGGTCTGTTTTCTTACCATAATGCGATGATGCTTTATCTGGCCAAAACACGTAGTTTCCGTCTGCGTATTATTTTTGAAGAAATAAAATCAATATTTTCTACCAACATTGATTTTGGTACACGTCTTGGTTGATAGCCAAACCGCTAGGCTTGAACCATGGCTTAGAAATTCCGATATGGCGATATACAGCATAACTTTCTGTCCAAACTTGTGTTTGTACTTGAATCTTGCATTTGGAGATGTTGTACGACTATTATCTGAATAAAATCGATCATTTCCAGGCATGTGAGATTTTGCGATCATCCAAAACGAGACATTTTCCTCCAAGCAGCCTCAACTGCAATCTAATGACAGTGACGAGGAAGATTGCAGCATGGAAACAGAAGGCAGTACTCGGATCCCATCTCCGCGATCAACCGAGCATCGAGGAAGTCGCATCCAACTAGTTCAGTCGCATCCAGGATTTGATTAAGCCAATAAGAAATTGCCGGCGGTGTGCTTGGGACCATTGAGGATGTCTCAACAACCACCCAACCACATTGTTATAGGCTGTCCAGTACTCGCCAATATAGCCTATATGTACCGAGCGCCACAACGGAGTTGCCAATTTGACGCTGTAATGTGATGTGTTTTTTTAGAAGATGTTGTGCCTGAACTCCGGTTGAATTATCTCTTGTCTTTGTACCGATATCCCGATATGATGATTTAAACTAAATAAATGTTTGTGAGAAAAAAACAATGTCCGCGTCTGGCGTTACAATTTCCTACTAGAAAAATCCCTAGACTGAACCGGGAATCGAAGCAAACCTCCGACTGACGGTATAGAGAATTTCATTAAATGTTCAAGTTCATTATTGATTTGTCCGGATGAGATTTGTATTTTTTAACACTTACAAAGTTGTTGAGAGTTTTCTTGGCATACATACTATTTCTGTATTCTTGCACTGCGTGGCAATTTTATTCGGTGTCCAGGAAAAACGACGAAATTTCCTCAACCCATCAATTTCAGCCTTTGTTTTGTAGGTTACGGGAGGCCCCATAAGAGAGAGAGAGAGAGAGAGAGAGAGCATGAGAGGGAATGAGAGAGATTACAACGTATGCTTAGCTTGATTTATATTAAAATACTTCAGCTCAATAAAAATTGTTCCACTTTAAAACTTCTTTCAGAATGCCGGCTGCAGTACCCGCGGAAAATGGAGGCGGAGTCCCAAAGACAGAGCTGCAGGAGCTGCAGATCAAACAGCAGCATGTGGTGGATGAAGTAAGATAACCCTTATTCATACAATTAAACGTTCAAAAAATCTCACAATAATATATTTCTATATTACAGTCACTGGATAGTACCCGTCGTATGCTGGCGCTATGTGAAGAGGTAAGTTATCAGATGCTCTATTTAGAAACGTTAGTGTTGCTTAACAAAAGCTATTGATAGCACTTTAAGTTATTGAATATATAAAATTAGGATTATTGATTCCTGAAATAGGTAGGATCAGCATAGCAAAACAGGAAAGTAAAAATAACAATATGTAAGCTCCGTGTGTGGAAGTGCAATCAAATAACAAGGAATAACGTTGAAATTGCGTATTCACTACTTTGATATAGTACAGTTATTTAATATCGTATTAAAATTGATTTCTCACTGTCAATCATTCATGTTCTGCATTGCATTGTTCCTTTAATCAGATAAAATTTAGGCTCACTGTTTCTATTTTAAACTTATGCTCATATTTTGACCCTACTGCTAATCCTTAATTCGAAACGAATTCCAACCTTTCTATGCTTGAATGAATTCATTGAGAGATATGTTTGTTTCGATGCTGATCTTTAGCGCTAGGGCCTATATTGGAATATACGTACACAATTGAAACAGTAGCTCTATTAGGTTCTAAGAAAGTAGGTAGGTGATTTTAGTTTATATTGTAAATAATGCAACGAGTGACTCGTTTTGATTAGTTTCGAGTTTTCTGTTTTTTTTTGCGGTCCCTATCCTATATCATCATTATACTTCGCACTATTTGAAAACGATTTGACAAAACAATGTTGCTGTGGACAGTGTAATTTGAAGGATAGTAGCATTCGTAACCAGAGCGAATGGAAAGGTGTGACATTTTATCTTTGCTCAGTGTCAATTCTATGGATAAGAAAAAAATCGTTCTAAAGTTGTAAGAGCTGTTTTCTATTGTTTAAATTTTCCACATTTTAAGCGTTCACGTGAAACAATATCATTGAGTTATGTTACAGTTTCATTGATTTCTTAATTTTTTTATGTTTTAAGACTATTCCCAAATTGTTATCATATTCTAACCATGCTATAGATATTCTTAACTTTAGATTTAAGCCTTAGAGTCGGCGTGGGGTGCTTTTTCGTTTATGGAGTTACAATTAAACATTTAAACAAAGCAGCGGTCAAGTTAAAATAATAATAACTTTTCCTTCTTTAGATGTTTTTTTCGGACGCGGTGATTTTATTGTAATAATTGAATTGCTTTTAACTTAAGACTGTTTCAAAATCGGTATTTAAAAAAAGCTGAATTTTGAAATAATTTAAAATTATTTTTTCGAACAATGCTCATCATGATGCTATGTTGGAAATGTTCGCGTAATTGTAATTACGAAGAGCCACAACACTTGAGTTTGGTTTTATTTCCTACAAAAAATCACCTCAATTCCCTGGTTGCTCCTTACTAGAGTCAATGAATTAAGTGGTTGATTTCCTAAACAACTTACAGTATCCCGTCGATAATTCGACACTTGATTAGTTTTAATCCGACGATGCCGAATAAAAAAGAATGCAAACGCCATTCTGGATGGGTCATCATAGTAGCTTATAAATCAACAGTGTCGAGTGCAGCTACGTAATATTCCTTAACATTGTAGTGTTTATTTTTATCGTGTGCTTCGTATGCGCACGCGCAAATGTCAACCATCGCTCATTTTCGTGTGATGTTTTCTGTAAAAACTGCTCAGCAGCTATCAGAGAAAAATAGACGATATTCCTACGAGTCTACTTTTTTACTTAGTCTGCTTTACTAGTTTTTCGGTTTGCTTTTCGGCTATCCACTTCAGCACTACTTCACGACTTAAAAAAAACATTTGATTTGCTTTTGATTAACATTTCGTAGGATCTGAAAGCGTCGGATTTAAAAGTTCTAGCCCATAGTCCGATCACGATTTTGCCGGATTAACGAGAGAGAACTGTATTGATTTTTTTTATAAAGTTAATATTGAGTTGTTTTAAGATATCCATAATTAAAAAATGACAATACAAATATTAATGTCCCTGTACTAAAACAGTTCACCACAGTCATTTGATAACATTCTATCAATGTATGTAGTACAACATTGCATTCTACACACCTTTTCATGTTTTGTGCTGTGAAATTTTCCTGTGTTTCCATGTGATAAAACATCATTATTTTATTTATGTTATCCGTTTTTATTTGGTTGGGGCTGAACGTATGTGTTGCATGTTTCCTCATATTTTTTTCCACTATAAATGTGAATCTATCTACAATTCCTAATAGATTTAGTGTGCTGTCCAAAGGCTACACTAAATAAATTAATATCTAAATGCATTAAGTGTCACCACGTATCATAAAGCTGTGCAAGGTTATATTAATAAAGTTATAAAAACGACACAAAAATCTATCTTTTATAATGCATGTTGCCAATCCTATCCTAGCAGAAACTATTAGCAATTCAATTTTGTCATTATTCTAATTTCAACTGAGCAAATTATTTATACTGAATTCACAGTTTTTCACGTTTTCTAAAATTATCACCCTATTCTCGATCTGCATAACTATCTGATCCAGATCGTCGAAATATTTATAAATCAACTAATATCTTAATTATTCTTGCTGTTTCGTTTTTATTCATGTTTTAAAGTTTTTTTTTGTGAATTTAATTTCTTTCTTTTTAACTATTTTAGCCAATTTTTCCATGTGCCTAAATCCTGCAATGTCTATTGTAATCAGATAATCATTGTGTTTGTATATGTGTATCTTAGATCAATTAAAACTTGGTCAAAGTTTAGGCCACTTAAGTGGTTTGGTCGTGGTATAATTGAAGATATTTTTTTTTAGTTTTACATGTTGACTGTATCATCAATATTTTTACTCGATTAGGTATACATATAAAGGGAATAACAACTTCAGCAATATCTTTACCTATTTTTCAGGGGTTGGTATTAAATGAAGTGCATGAGCGCTCATTTTTTTGTATGAGGGTACATCATATTTTTCGGACAAAACTGAGTGTCGCCATCAGGGAAATTTGCATATAAATAATGGCACAATGCAATTCTAAATCATAGAACAACACCAATTGTATGTAATTAAAATTTTAAATAATAAAAACAAATTAAAGCGCTGTTTCTACTCAAATGTTGGACTTTATGTATATATAAGGGCAAAATACAAAGCAAAAATCATCAACGGCGCGGCGGTCGTCATTTTCATGTATCCGAGATAAGATAATGCTTATCCACCATGTTTTCATGATTGGTAATTTTGATTAGTTAGTCCTTAATTTTCAGCATCCCCTTGCTTCATAATTGCCCAAAATTTCTCAATCGGCCAGAACTAGAGACAATTGGGTGTGTTGTTGACCTTGGACCATTGTGCTACATCCTTGGTGTAACTAGACGGGACACGCAAGGGGTTGGATTATTGCTTCCATTTGATAGTTATTCATAAGAATTATATCATCTCCCGGAAGTTTTTTCCAATGTTCCCCGGTTCCAACTGGTTTCCTTCGCAAGTGGAATTTTTTTATGACTTCCCCCCGGAAGCCTCTTCTGGCTTCTCCTGAAACTTCCTTTCCCCCGAAAGCCTTCCATTGAAAGTGTCTTCCGACTTCCAAGGGAAGTTTTTTCAAAGTTCCCCAAAAATTTATTCCGACTTTTCCTAGAAGTCTCTTCCAACTTCCTCCGGAAATTTAAAACATCTTGTCCTGGAAGTTTCTTCCGGGACTTCCTCAAAAGTTCTTCTGACTTACGCTGGTTGTATCTTACAATTTTCACGAGAAGTATTGTCGGAGTTCCCCCGGAATCTGCTTTCGACTTTCTTATATGTTTCCTCCAACATCATTTGGGAGTTTCTGGCAGTTTCTATCAACTCTGAATAGGTTTCCTAATTGTTGTGGTCTATTTCTAGTGAAAATGTATGTATGGCTTCTGTATGAAAAGCTGTCTCCCGGGAAAACGAACCAGTTTCCCGGGAATCAGGAAATGTGAATTTGAGTGAATTTGGTAGGAAGCACTTGGTGGTATGAATGATTCTAGAGACAAAGTTAGTCTTCTGGCCACATCTACAGATACGACACTGGTCATGTATTTACTTGCAAACTTATCGGCAAAATCAATAGGGGTATTCACTATGCGCGTTGTAAACATATACACTATCGTAAAAATACCAGGGTCAATGGAGTGTAATGGAAGTTTACACATTTACGAAGGTGTATACGTTTACGATGCGCTTGTGAATACCCCTAATTAGAATCCCGTAAAAAAGTAAACTTGTATCCCGGTAGCTGTCGGCGTTCCCGTAGGTTTTGCTTAGGGGTCATCCACTATTTATATAATGGGTTCTCCCTCGTATATATTAATAAGATTTAATTTTTTTTTATTTAGAAAATCGCTTGGGATATTTTTTATATAAATGTATCATTTTATCACATGCTCATTTAGAATGTTTGGCTTTTTTTAGCATAAACATCGCGATGCATCGATCAAGATCAAATTATTTTCTTTTAACTTTTAAATCTTATGTAAGAGAATGTGCCCTCCCCTTGTAAAAAACTAATAAATGTTAAGGCTCCCCTATTCCCTTACATAATTTGTGGTTGACCCCTCAATGAACAGAAGATCGAGAGCTCAAACCCAAGACCGTCCCTTTCCTCACATTTGTAACTATGCTTTGTTCTATCTCAATAGTTTTAAAACAAAAAAAAATGATCTAAACATAACCCGAGCAAAGTCTAAGATCAAATTGAAATCTAAATTTGATGTTGTGATTTCGCTTATAATGATTGCTCAGGTTGCTATCGTTTTGGTCGTTTTAACGGTTAAAATATCAAAATTGAGAGCAAAAAAATCTTCCTGCTATCAGTGAGAGCAAACTGAAAACTCAATTTGATATCAATTATTCCTGTTGATAACAAAACAAGTAATCAATTGATGTTATGCTAAGGCAATGAAAACAAACCCGCAACAACATATTTTTGAAGAGCAAATGTACAGCAAAATGAAAACAAAATTTTTCAATTGCATAAACTGAAATCAAATTAGGATTTCAGTTTGATGTTGATATCAAAACTTGATGTCATTTGCTGGGAACCCACCTCACTATAACACAACTATATCCTTCCCAT